TAATCCCCGTCCCCGGTTTGTAGTAACGTCCCCCGGCCCCGGTCCCCGGCGGGTACGGGGATCATTATCCCGTCCCCGGTCAATCTCTAACAATCCCCGGTAAAACCCCGGTCAATCTCTAACAATCCCCAGTAAAACCCCGGTCAATCTCTAACAATCCCCGGTAAAACCCCGATCAAAACCCGGTAAAACCCCTTGCTTTTGTTTGCTGGTTTTTATGAAGAATACAGGGAGCAAACCCATGTTCCATTATGTGCTTTGTGTTTGTTGTTTCTTTGAAGCATACAGGAACCAATGAACCCATGTTCAATTTCTGATTTTGTCGTTGAAGAACACATGGACCAAAAGTTGTTTTAAAAACAGCTTTTCATTGATTGATTTAGGAGAATATGGTTTACAAATGAACCAAAAACAGCTTCTTTTCTGCTTTTTACGAACCATAAATGTCCTCAAACACAGGTTTTAACACAGCTACAGGACTAAAAATTGGCAATGTCCAGTGGAGTCTTTTGGCTACTGTTCGAATGTAAAAAACAGGGACCAAAGATCTGCTGATGACAATTACATAAGTTAACCATTGATGCCCTAATGACAGTATCAAACCGTAGGCTCTGGTCACAGGGATCGAAAACACATTCCCCATTGTCTTTGTTTGTATGTCAAACACAGTGGCCAAAAATATGTTGATGACTTAAAACACAGAGATTTAACATAGGGGCTGTTTGTTAACCAAAAGAACCATAAATGCCGTACAAGGTTCCCAATCTTCAAAAACACAAGGGTTTATACCCATAAGCAACAATGTAGAGAGATGTCAGAACAATAAGATAGGGAGCGAAGTTGTTTCAAGCCCTAGAAATATGAAATCGTTACCTGTGATTCATAAAGACGACACTGGTGATCGATGAACAAGAAGATAATGGTGATCGATTGGGCGACACCGGTGATCGATGAACAGATGCGTCGCTTGGAGAGCTCGATGGAGTCGGACCTGGAGACGACGATTAGAGAAAATAGAGAGGGCAATCTTGGAAAATTATCAAATCTGAATGATATGGAGGGAGGGGCCGTGAAGGAGCGAATCAGATACCATTTTACCATTCAGATGTTTTTAAAAACCTACCCAAACAAGAAAAGGTCTGACCGAATCAGACATTTACATCTTAATGGTATGATTAAGTGGTAAACAAACAGCCCCTAAGAGTATACTTTTTATTTAACATTTATTTATATTATGTTAATTATTTATATTTTGTTAATTGAAACGTGTTTCCGAACATTGGACTTTTTGGATTCGTCACTGATACTGATGGTATATAAGAGCATTTTCAACAGTTTCTGTGAAACTGAGAATATTAAGGGTTTTAAGCAGTTTTTTGTTTCAACAGGTTCCCTAAAACTTTCTCCAAAATAGAGAAACATTTTTTTATTATATTCCATTTCCACCAATAATCTTAAATTAAAATTTTATGTGAGATAAATAATATTTTATTTAAATGTATGTAATATTTTAATAATATAATTATTGTTGTAAGTTATAATCTTTAGTTGTTGCGGTTGAATGCAATAAATTTTTTATAGAATTTTAAATTTCGATCCTATATTTTAAAGAAATTTGAAGATGTTTTAATAGAGTTTTTTAAAATAAAATAATTTAAACATCATTAATCTATATTATATTATAAAACATTTGACAAAAACTCTTAAAACTTAATTTTTATGTATGAAGTACTGTTTATTGATGCATGTTACTTAAAATTCAAGATTACAGGTAAATTGTGCGTAAGTACAACTTATTAAAGCTTCATGTTTGAATTCGTGTAATTAACTGTAGATAAATATAACTAAATACAAGATAAACTTCTCATTTTAAATATAAAATCTAAAATATAATTAAAATAATTATTGAGTTCTAACAGAATACTTAGTTATTATCTTTATAAAAAGTTATATTATTAAATCTAAATTAAATTATAATAAAATATCGAATTAAAGAAATTACACAAAAAATGAAAACTTTTACATTTTTTTAATTTTTATGATATTTTCAAATTTATATTTTATTGAGAAAAACAATATTATTTGCTCAAAACCACATAAATTCGTATTATAACATTGACAGAGACTAAACAATAAAAATAAAACATTAAAATCAAAATATATCTCACTACATTCCACAAACACCCTACTAGTTAACAGAGATATACGTGTTCCTATTTCAACCCCACGGGTAGCTGGTGTCATTTGACAAATTTATGTCATGTCCCCAAAAACATGGAGCAGGTCACAGATCACAGGTCACAGGTCACTCACGTGATCAGCATACTCAGAGAATTCAATTCAAAATTTTGGTATGTACTAACACGTTTTTAACAAAAACTTGTTTTTTTCATGCTCCATTTGATTAACTCTAAAAAATAGAATAGTCAAAAACATGGTTTATCAATGAAGTTATACGATACGGGTGTTCATGAGTTGAGTTGATCGGGTTGAAGACATTTGAACAATCCAACTTATTGCTTACGGTTTGAAAAAATCTTAACGCAACCCAACCCGTACGGGTTGGTCGGAATAGTCGGGTTGGTCGGGTTGATACTTTGGTATATTAAAATATTCTTGCAACCTTGAACATGTTATTTCTCTACTCATATTTTTTTTTTCATCATCAATCATTTGATACAACTTATTCATATTTCTTACGCATATTACATTCAGTTAATTTTCTTAATTTACATATATATGTTCAAAGTTACTGAATGAGTTGTATAGAGATATGAATAAATTGAAAATATGTGTATATGAAAAGCATACATGATAGTGTAATTGTCTAATTTATATATTAATAGAAATTCAACAATGATATTAAATCCACGAAATAAAAGGATATCGGGTTTATCGGGTTGGGTTGGGTTCAAATAATAGTAACCCAATACCTACGGTTTGACACTTTTACAACTCGATTAGACATTGGGTTGCTTCAAGTTGGTTATTTCGGGTTGGGTTGGGTTGATCGGGTTTTTGAGCACCCCTACACTACATAATGGAATAGGACATGACAAAATATGACAGGACAGAACAACTTCGGTAATTTATCCAACTTCGATAAGATGGAACTGGACATAACTGAACAAATAAAATAACCAATTTACTCTTAATCAGTTGTTTATATATTTTGATTAATTTATGTAATTTATAATAAAATAATTATTTTT